TTGATCACGTCTTCTATGTATAGATTAAATCTTTGTCTGATTCCCTTCCTAATATTTACTTCTCTACGTTGCTGCTCCAGCTTTATAACTGGCTGTTGCTCTTTCTTTGTACAAACTAAGTATCACTCTTCTATCTATATAACTCATCCCTACATTTTTGTCCCATTTAATATTGTCAAAAGCATTTTGTACGCATTTTTTCTTTTTTCTATCGTTTTCTCTATTGTTACCCGTAAAGCTAGAAAAGCCTTCCGCGTTCCTCTACTTCTTCTAAACCTCAATTAAACTTCCCCTTATAGTTCTTCCGCCTTTTTTTTACAATTACAATAATAAAATAATATTGATTTTTCTTTTCTCCATTTACTCGAGATAAAAATGTTGAGTCTCTCAGAGTCTCTGAAAGCGAGACTCGAGTCTCCGTCTCTCATCGAGTTTTTCTGGTGTCGCTGAGAAAGACTGTCAAGAGATTGTCAAAAAAAACGTTTAGCGTCTCTGAACGAGAGACTCGAGTCGTTCATAGAGAGATACTCATTTCGTATCCAGTCTCTCAATAAGTGTCTTGATAGACATGGTTAAAATTTTCTAAGTTCAACATATTTCAGAGATCCCAGTCTTTCTTCGAGAGACTCGAGTCTCTCAATTTTTCATTTTTATTAATTCAGTCTCTCTCTCCATAAAAACACCTAGGCAATAACTGAGAGACTGTGAAAGACTGTGAGAGAGTGGAGAGAGACTGAATATTTTTGTCTAGGGTAACGACAACTTTTGAAAAATAACACGTATTAATTTTTACATAAAAGTGCAAATAGTAAATTACGTCGATATGTTAAGTAACCCTGACATTTGTATTTGGGATAACACTAAATCCAGTAACCGAAATTTTCTAGTAGGAGAGAGGGTTTTAAAACAAGACGGTTAAATATAACGGAATATAAGTGATGTTAACGGGGAGATCAAGTAAACATTTGAATTTAATTAAACGTTGTAAAGAACATCATATTTCAGTTGCTACTAGCTCGAAAGGAGTGGATTTTTCATGGAGATCCTTTTTTTTAATAATAGAAATCAGTTTATATTAATAATTAATGATTAATGTCCAATGAAACATTAGATGGTAGGAAGTAGGAAGAGTTACTATACAGTACATATGTATTTACAATATACAGTATGTACCACGGTAATCTTCAGAATTATAGCTGATTCTCACTATCCGTCTATACGGAGGCAGGCAACGTCGGTTAGTTTTACGTTATATTCACTTTATACAACATGTTTCAGTTAAATTTTAATATTTTTTTAGTAGTTAGAGAAAAATTTGCTTATTATTCAACCTATTTGTGAAATTTCTTTACGCACGGTAGGGTAAGTTCGTTTCATGCGAGTTGTTATGTAACGAAATCATACAACGCATTTCCCGCGCTGTCTGATGTATGCTTAGATCTTTAAAACTACGCAACGGATTTTAATGCGGTTTTTTTTAATAGATAGAGTAATTCAAGAGGAAGGTTTATTGTTTAATACATGCATAATATAGTAAAGAACCACTGATAATTTTAGAGGTTTGTAATGTGATGTCGTAAATAAACACATTTTTTTGCGCTTAAATTACAAACGCTGGCTGAACCCTACGAGATAGATCAAAATAATGTACTACAGTATTGTACACCTTAAAAAAAAGGTCTACAAAAAAGTCCGGGATGGTATATGTCTATCTCATAGGGATAACCCACAATAACCATTTTTTATCCTTTACTTTTTACGAGAAATAATGGCTTATTTACGAAGCGATTTTAAGCAATACAGCATTAATCCTTATCCAATTAAGTACTTTTAAATACAT